TACCAGGTACTCGTTTGAGGCTGGGTCGACCTAGAAGATGCCTAAAACGGATTCAAATATTCAGCACTGTTATTGCTTGTGAGCAGGGATTGAACTCGTGTCGTCGTGTTTGTAGCACGGTGCGCTAACAACTGCGCCACCATTGGAACCTCATTTGCCAGTAAAAATATGATAATTGTTTTTTTACCCTTCTATCTGGCAACAAAACTGACACCTTTTTACAAGGAGTCATGTTTGCATAGACCACAATACCTGCAGTCATAATGCAAACAAAAAACATAACTCTGATAATGTATGCACTGTCCTTGAAGTTGATTGGTCCACACCCGAGACAGCTTTCCTTAGAGCCTAGTCTCACATGGGTTGGACCAGATGACGCCAAAAGGCGCACAACTCAAAGACAATGCACCATCAGAGTTGTGTTTTTTGTTTGCATTATGACTGCAGGTATTGTGGTCTATGCAAACATGACTCCTTGTAAAAAGGTGTCAGTTTTGTTGCCAGATAGAAGGGTAAAAAAACAATTATCAACTGCGCCACCATTCCCCACTCAAACACATACACGCAAGTACACACACGTGCAGACACATACATACGTGCTTGGCGTTGAGCCCCAGCTCGCTTTGGTAGAAGCCGAGGCGGTTGTCAAGACGTTCGATGCTGAAGTTAAGCAGGAACGGCGCTCCCCGCACCATCTTGGCCACCGCGTCCCTGCCGAACCCACGCGACTCCAGGTAGTGAACCCTGCGGTGAAACACATGCAGCATGCCACACCAGCTCCAGCATCGTCATTAATGATCTAATATCAGGGTGTCTTCATAGGTAGAGATATCCTGAAGTCTATATCAGTAATGGGTCTGAAAGGTTGATCACTTGAAATTAGTCCATGTGCAAGAGTGTAATTGATGATAGCAGCACTGGACCGGGAGAGATGGCCATGGTTTGGGGAGGCCTTAATCCAGCAGAGGATAGACAACAGCTGATGATCGTGATTAAGAAGCTATGCAATTGTGATTTGAGTAGAAATTATGTACAGAATGGAGGTTATCATGTTCAATACTGTACGGTAGTGTTTTCCAGATTTTGCCACTAGAGAGACAGATGGCATGACAACCATGGCTTGCCTGGATCCCACGTATACTGGGGAGACAAAGGTGGTCAGCTGTGTTGCTAGCCAAACAACCCCCTCGTGCACCATGCCGGCCTTCATAGCCGACACTCACTCACAGCACTTGTCCCAAATTCCTGTGTAGGCTACACGGGGAATCGTTGTCTTTGCCACCTGGCTTGCAGGTTGGAGATGTCCTGGGTGAGCATGAAGGGGTTGGTGGTGAGGAAGGGCCCCAGATCCTGGTCCTGCAGCCCCACGTCACGCAGGAAGAGTAGCCGTTCCTGCACGTCACTCTCAAAGTCGAGGCGAAGCAGCATGCTCGCCGCTCCACGTAGGCGTTCCACCTTCCACAGCTCCACCCCTAGCACGGCCATGGGGAGACAGGGGAGAGACAGAGGGAGGCAGAGGATTAGAGGCAGACAGACAGAGAGCCAGAGAGATAGTAAAAGAGGAAGACAGAAAGATGGAAGACCAAAGTGGAAGAAAGGCAGATGGGGAGAGGAAGAGAGTGAGAGACACTTATGTCGATGAGACAAGAGACAATGAAGGAAGTGACAGAGGGAGGCAGAGGATTAGAGGCAGACAGACAGAGAGCCAGAGAGATAGTGAAAGAGGAGGACAGAAAGATGGAAAACCAAAGTGGAAGAAAGGCAGATGGGGAGAGGAAGAGAGTGAGAGACACTTGTGCAGATGAGACGAGACAATGAAGGGAGTGAGGAAGAGAGGAACTGACTTGGAGCGATGAGAGAGACATGGACCGATGGGGAGACACAAAGCAAAGGACATTGAGCAAACACCAGCAATATATATATTGTGTGTGACAGTGTCAATTTGGACAAAGTGAAGAGAGAGGGAGAGTAGAGATTGCAGGCCATTCATTTTCCAAACATTTGGGTAAATTCATGACAACTGCAGATATGGCTGTGAAAGGGAGACAGTGCTCTATCTCCAAGTAAGTCACTTGCACAAAGAGATAGTAGCAAGGCTGGGTGATAAGGGCAGCTGGGGTGCAGCAGAGGTCGCAACCGAGTACCCGATACCCGTACCCTACCCGATACCCGGCTACCCGTACCCGGCCGGGTACGGGTAGCCGTTTGCGACCCTGGTGCGGCCGGGTACGGGTAGGCCGTGAGTCACTGGTGAGTAGCCGTTTGTCACTCATTTCGGGTAGGGTACGGGTAGGGAACGGGTACCCATACCCAGCCGGGTACGGGTACGGGTCGCCGTTTGCGACCCTAGTGCGGCCGGGTACGGGTAAGGAATCAAAACCCGTTTGCGACCTCTGGGGTGCAGACAGCCGTGGGGTCAGTGTCCGCTGTGGGGTCAGTGTCCGCTGTGGGGTCAGTGTCCGCTGTGGCGTTCGTGCCTTCATGGTCTCACCGAGCAGCACGAGCTGGCGCAGCGTGTGCGAGCGTTCGGCGTACGCAGAGAGGCGGTCGGCCCTTGGAGGCAAGGGTCGCGATACCTCCAGGCTCAGCGCCTCCTCCTCCGTCAGTTCGTCCAGTGCTCCCGCTTCGTCGACCTCGTCTGGAACATGCGCACACACGTGGCTTGTAGTTCCGTGACACCGCCAACATCCCGTCTGGATACCGTTGAGCGTTTGATCTCTTTTTAATTCTTTAAAACTAAGGTTGAAACCATTAATGCACTTGCTCTGTACATTTGTCTTTAATGGGGGGGTGGTGGGGGGAGGACGTCAGGATATACATTTGAATACATGGTGTGTTGCTATTAGAGATTTACCCTAGAGAAAACCTGGCTAAATCAATCAAAAGGTTGCACAAACCTTGGCGATAAAAAAAAACTGCGTGAAATCAATAAGGATTATCGGCCAAGGCGTACACACATACCTTCCTTATTCCATGCCAAACAAGTAAACTCACCAAGCGAAGGGAGGCCTTTAGCGGCTTCTGAAATATCCAAAACTTCAAGTTTGCGTACGACAGGTATTTCTAAACTAGTCAAAGGCAAGATAGGTCCCGCTAGCTGTCCGGCGGTGGCAGTGTCAGTGTCCTGTAGCATCCGCCGGTGCTGCTGGTCGTCTGTGAGCGAGTGGGATAATCTTGCGCCGTTCCACTTCATGATCGCGCCAAGTCGACCGGACACGCGGCACAAGCACCGTGCGGTCGCCATCCCGGATGATATTTGTTTTGATTTTGGTCCTGTGGGTGTGCACTTGTTTTCCCACACCCCTCCCCCCCCAAGACGGTCTTGCCACCGGTTGGACGAAGATGAGTGGTGAGATGAGGTCCGGAGAGCACGAATGGCTCACTTTGTGGTGACGATGAAATCCAAGCTTGATTCTGTAAGACCTGCAACAAAGTAATAATTTACGTGATGTGAAATCATTTCTAAAATTCGTCTTGTGCTGTCCCTACTGTGGTATCCATTTTGAAAAATGTAAAATCCATGTAATAAAAAAATGTCAAAATCGTCCTCACCACTACTGTGGAGCAGGAATCTACAGTGGTGGTGCGGGATATGGTTTATTAATAAGTTGTCATCTGACACAAACCCTTGCCTCATCTGATACAGAACCTTCATCCAATACATAATTGTCGTCTCATCAAAGCGCATTCGTTTGACTCCACAGTTGTTGCAAACTTTACTCAAACATCATATTCATTAACTGTCCCTATGGTGGACATATTGCCAATGGTGGAAACTCCGCATTCATAGGAAGGGACAAGTCTCTCCAGCTGACACCCATCTGTTCACTTCAACGCAGGCTGGATTCATTTTAACGACCGTCGAGCTATTAAGACGATGAACCATTGATGACTGGACGAATTTGACCCTGATCAGGAAATTAACGTATCTCCTGTCAGTGACATCAAACGGACCGCCAGTGGGCAACACTACTGAACGCCAAGTGTCAGAAGAGATCCGGATTCTGAATCTATGAGCCTCGGGTATTAATACAGAAATCCCGAGCTCTGAAAACTCAACATTCCCACGACGAAAACATTAGGACCACCGCTGACTTTCCACACGAGTGTATCGACCTCCCCGGATAAGATGAAAGCCAGCGACGAGGTGAGACATCTGGACATCTGTCAAAAAGAGCTTTGCAGTTCATCGGATTTCTCCAGTATAAACACACATTCTGACAGCATTCAAATACACACAGTGGCGCTCACCTGATTGGAAACGTATTATCTCCCGAGCGTCGGCACGTTGAATAGTGACATTAATGAGGCAGTCTCAATAATATCAATTATATAATACAAGTCCGCTAGATAAATCGCGACTGCACGAACGCCTCTCACTTTCGTGTTGCGTTGCGGCGTTTAAAGGGCCCAACACGCGCGCGTGACCTCCCCGACGAACGCACGTGTCGCACGCGCGTGACCTCCCCGACAAACGCACGTGTCGCACGCGCGTGACCTCCCCGACGAACGCACGTGTCGCACGCGCGTGACCTCCCCGACAAACGCACGTGTCGCACGCGCACGTGTCAAGCGCGCGCACGTGTCGCACGCGCGCGCGCTCCCACGACTACGGCGAGCGGCGCGGCCCAAATCTCACTCCGAACGCAAACGCGAATTCACCTTTAATTGTCCACGAGCTCAGCCCGTTATCGATTGATGAGGGTGGTAAGGGTTGGTGGATTACGGAGAGAATTATTGTTTTTGGTTTACGCGGGGTGGCTCAGCGCAATCGGAAGGTTGCGAGTTCAAACCCTGTGTCGTGGAGTCGTCCCTAATCCCGTAGTCTTTCTGTTGTCGAAACAATTATTGCCAATAGCGACGCTTCGTGTGGGAGTGAACCAGTGGGTTGTCATATATATATATATACTCGTCACCCCCCGCCACAGTAACGTGGAATTTCCACCACTGTCTCTGTCAACCGGAGACGAGCCCCCAAATCTCTTTGACTTGACTTATAGATCCAGGGCTGTCACGAATTGAAAGGTCTGGCGACCTCTAGCGACGCGTCAAGCGGACGCTGCACCTCTAAAGCGGCGTCGGTCCCGGGGCAGTAGCAACAGCAGCAGCAACAGCAGCAGCGATGGCCATTCATACGTACGCCGGCACGATCAGGAAAGACGACGCCAACTACAAGCAGCATTTCCGAATGATTAACGAGCAGCAGGTGGAGGACATCACCATCGAGTTCTTCTACAGGCCGCACACCATCACGCTGCTCACGCTCACCATCGTCTGCCTCGTGTACTTCGCCTTCACGAGGTCAGGGCCGCAGGCTTTAACCGACTTTCCTAGTTTTGTTTGCCGCGGAGTTGGTCGCCCCCCCCCCGGCCGGCGAAGTGACGTCGGGGAAGGGGGGGTTATGTTAAAACGTTATTTTTGCGTGGTGTGTGTTTTTGAAAGAGTTATTATGTTTAGATTTTAAACTGGGTATTAGATTGTTAGAAGTTATTGACGTTGGCGGATTGAATGGCATTGGTTGCGAGCGTAACTTGAAGTATGGCTGGTGGGTTTAAAAAATAAATAAACAGTTAATGTTGACGATTAAATGTCTAATATTTAAACCGCTTATTATTAATAGGGTTTGAAGGTGGTGACTTTTGATAAGAGTATTGTAGGATTTCGTGACGTACGTAGCAATAGTGGGGCAACGTTTCTGAATGGGAAGTAATTGTAACCGTTACATATCAACATTATTTCTAAGTTGAAATGAATACATGTATCTGAAAAAATTTAAGATTTTTAAAATAAATAAACAAACGTTTATATAAAAAAATAAAAGTGTAAAGTTTTAAAATCTGGTTTGCGTAGCAGTTACGGCATGTTCGAGATGGCATGGATAGCTTCATGTCAAATCTACCGTATTGTCAAGTATGTACATGTCTTTAAATAGCTCATAATTAATTGTAAGCTATGCATTTTAAAAAATATTTCCATATTCATATTTACTTTAAGCTTTTTTTGGTAGATTACCTGTGCACTCGTTGATTTCTGCAACAATGTTTTTGCTACAGATATTTACACCACGCCTGCCAAATCAACGTACAGCAGCCCAAACTTTAATTAACCCACTTGTTGCATTAAGGGCCACAAAACCCCACGCTGAACAATTGACCATACTTCACCACGCCGGTCACTGTGGAGGCGTGCGAGCATAGAAGTACATTATAATGTATTTTTCTGACACCCGCCCTCTGCTGTTCACAATGTATGTCGCCACGCAGAAGGCAAATTGACAATTCTAGATTTAAAGCTTTCGTGACTGCAAGGATTCACACTCTTAGTTCTTTCGGTAAAGTCACTTAGGTAAAAAATGCAAGCTCTCCTCCCCCCTTAACTGGTATTTAAGAGTCTACACTATGGGAACCTCATTTGCCAGTAAAAATATGATAATTGGTTTTTTACCCTTCTATCTGGCAACAAAACTGACACCTTTTTACAAGGAGTCATGTTTGCATAGACCGCAATACCTGCAGTCATAATCTAAACAAAAGACGTAACTTTGATAATGTGCACTGTCCTTGAAGTTGATTGGTCCACACCCGAGACAGCTTTCCTTCAAGGACAGTGCACATTATCAGAGTTATGTCTTTTGTTTGTATTATGACTGCAGGTATTGCGGTCTATGCAAACATGACTCCTTGTAAAAAGGTGTCAGTTTTGTTGCCAGATAGAAGGGTAAAAAACCAATTATCATGGTATTTAAGAGCTTGCATCTTGAATCCCTCCCTCACTTGATGCAGCAAATCTGGCTGTGACGGTCCCATCTGATGACGGAGACTTGTGTTGCCTCCGAAACGTTGTGATTTTATTGTTTTATTTTTATTAATTTAAATTTCATTTTTTACCTACGTGACTTTACCGAAAGAACTAAGAGTACAAATGGACAATCTCTGGTGGTGGTCGCCCCGTGCAAGCGATAGCCGGGCTCAAACGCCTGCTCAGCTTCTGAGATCCGATGAGATCGGGCGCATTACGTGGAATTAGGGCATCGGATTTATATTTTGATAGTTGCGATATAAAAACGACGAATGTTTCACGGGACACTGAGTTTATTTTGACATTTCGAAACACGTGAACATTGTCGGGAGAATTGTTCATTTTTGGCCAGCCAGATGCACATTATCACCGTTTAAATTCATATATTTTTTAATGTACTTAGGAAATAGAGTACCTCCTTTGCTCAGGGAAACCTCACAACGTGTCCAGACGCATTGCGTTGGGTGGAGACCAAAGTGCCCAGAGAAAACCTGCACAGAATAAGGGCGTAGCACTCGAAAGCCCTCACAGGTTGGTACAGAAACCCATTTGCTTTGTTCCAACCCATTACCGACCTCACTCGCAGCCCCGGTGGGTTTGGGAGTTGCACGTAAAAAAAATCTCTGCGTAATCCACCAGCCCTTGCCTCCCAATGCGCCAGAGGCAAGTGTAACGTGGTCTGTGACAGGCACCATGTTTGGCTAAGTAATTTGGCCTTGAGGCAATACAGTATATGGCTAGGTCAGCTATTAATGAATTAATTATGTAAGCTCTTTCTGTTTACTGCCCAACCCTTCAGGGATAACAGCAGCCCCGAGGACAACATATGGCGGGGAATCATCTTCGTCACCGTTTTCTTTCTCATCGTCAGCGTCATGGCCTTCCCCAACGGTGAGAGTCACAGCTATCCCATGCGTTTTGGGTTGTACCCGAAGAAGCCCCCGGCACGTGCAGTGAAACGTCGGACATCACCCCGAACAACACGCTCAAAATCTCTCCGATGCGTTTTTTTCCCGGTCGTACCTCGTGTTTTTGGCATGATGTCCCAAAGTTTCCACTGCTCGTGCTGAGACCTTTTTTTTCTGGAACCGAATGGAGCGTTCTCCATCGTTTATATAAAGTTGGCAGCTGCTTCTGGTGTCATCGGCTGATCTACATCAAACACCAGCAGAAGCCGGACTCTGTTTGTTTGGCAGTATTTTTCCACTGCCAATCCACTTTGTCAGTCAACTTTGTCAATCAACTCCAGTGGATAAGAATTCCCTGGTCTTAATCTCTCAGAATACACTAAGAGATCTCTTTTACCAGTGGCAAAATATAGTAGTAGGTTTTTACCCTTTTAAACTGGTACAAAACTGACACCTTTATTCAAGGCATTGCAAACATGATGCCTTGAATAAAGGTGTCAGTTTTGTACCAGTTTAAAAGGGTAAAAACCTACTACTATCTCTCAGAATATTTTCCGAGTCTCTGGTAGACTGTGGTAGGTGGCACGGGCCTAATTGCCACAGCGATAGGAATATTGGATGTGGTGTGATGCGTGCGTAAATATTTTCTCGGTCACTGACCTGGACAAACCCGGCTGAAATTAAGCCCTAAGAATCTCCATCGGATGGAAAAAGATGTGTGCGCAGCAGGCGGCGGGAGTGTTGATGTGTGTGTCTGCGTGTCCCATTACAGGTCCCTTCACGAGACCTCACCCGTCCATATGGCGCATGGTGTTCGGTGAGTCATCCTCTCCCCTCATCCTCACACCCGCAACCCGGCATGGTTTCATTTTGGTAACCCTGATTGAACCAGATAAGAGCCCGATGAGTTTCACCAGTGAAGAGTGTGTGTAATATAGGAGCTTTGATAGGAAAACACAGTCACAGCGCATTATTCACAATCGGAAGTTGTGAAATAAATTCCCCGAAATGTAATGGTCAACTCGGCTGATCTCCCTGCATCCTGGCCCGACAAAAATGACCACCCAATTTTTGAGAACACTGAAGGAATGTCAACAGTGGTTATCATTTTAGAGGAATTTGGAATTTCCACCACTGGCTCAGAGCTACCAACAAAGATGACAATCGTTTCAGCACAGATAAACCGTGACTTCACATGCACAGGGGGTAGGCGCCAATGACCAAATTACCCAAAATATGTCCCATCTCATCAAATCTCGGAAGCTAAACTGAGTTGAGCCTGCCTGTATCTGTACGTGTGCCTATTAACATGTGTGTGTACATATTCTTGGTTCTTTCGGTAAAGTCACGTAGAAGGGAAATAATAAAATAATACAAATAAAACAATACAATTCTCACGGCGTTTCGATTGCAATACAAGCAATCATCATCAGGTGTGAAAACCACAGCAAGAAAATTTTAATTAAAAAAACGCCACTTTTTAATTTTTCTTGCTGTGGTTTTCACACCTGATGATGATTGCTTTTGTTGCAATCGAAACGTCGTGATCATTTTATTGATTTATTTTTATTATTTCCCTTCTACGTGACTTTACCGAAAGAACCAAGAATATGAATCCCTGCAGTCATGAAAGCTTTCAATCGAAATGTGTTTGTACGTACGTTTGTGTAGCAGCACGCTGCGCTATGAACCTGGCAACCCGAGTTCGATTCCCACTCGTGGCCAACACCAGTGATGAATATTTGAGCCAGTGCTAGGCCTCCCCTAGGTCGATTCAGCCTGAAATGAGTACCTGGTGCGATATCTGAAAATCTGCACTGGAGAGACAACGGCGGCTGGCCGTGGTGCCGGCCATCCAACCCCTCATATGCCGTGCCGGCCTTCACAGATGCGAACAGCACTTGCCCCAATAGTCTTGTAAGGCTATACGGGGGATCTTTGTCTTTGTACGCACGCGTATGCAGGCATGAGCGTCCTCTACTTCCTGTTCCTCATATTCCTGCTCTTCCTCAACCCGGAGCAAGTTAAGGCCATCATGTACTGGCTGGACCCGGCGCTTCGCAACGCCACGCGTGAAGCTGACATCATGGTACAGTCTCTCCCGATCTTTCCCTTTCGGTCCCACGTGCACAGCACAGACACAGACATTGTGAAAATGCAGATGAAGCTATTATTGTAAGAGCATCGGCGCCAGCACTCTGCAGACACCAGTGATGCCTGGCTCAGGATGGAGTGTCTCTACTGAGCCTAGAGAGGAGGGTATTCTAGATTTGAAGCTTTCGTGACTGCAAGGATTCATAATCTTTGTGTTTTTTCGGTAAAGTCACGTAGGTAAAAAAAATAAAATAAATGTGTTGCCTCCGAAAGGTCGTGATTTAATTGAGTTGTTTTCATTTCTTTTATTGTTTTTTCTTACCTACGTGACTTTACAGAGGAGGGTATATCTCTACTGAACTGAGAGAGCAGAATGTGTTTGCTGAACCCAGGGAGGGGGAGATTGTGTCTGCTTAACTGCGGGCAGTGTCCTGACTGAACCCAGAGAGGGGAGAGTGTCTCAGCTGAACGCAGAATGGAGTGTGATCTATCCTGACACAGTGATCTGTGGTTATTTTTTGCGTGTGTGTGTGTGCACGTTTTTCCTGTGTGTGTTTGCCTTGCATACGTACGTGCATGTCTATTCATGTGCATGCACGTTGTATGTCTGTGCACGTATGCATCTGTGCGTGTGTTGGGCATGCGTGTCTTGAGTTTGCGTACTTATGTTGGTATGTGTGCACAAATGTGCGTGTTTTTCGGACATCTGCACATAATGCTCGTGTGCGTCTGTGTGCACCTGTTGGCGTCTGTGCGTTGGTGCACATCGTTAGTTGTGCAATAGTTCTTAGGGATCCCGTACTCGATCTCTGCAATATTGATGTTTTAGTTGCTGCTATGCTCGCACATCATGGATCTCCCGTGTAAAGTAGCCGGGCAAATACCCAAATGGGACCATCATCCGTGTGACATCAAAATCAACGTAACTAAATAAATACAAGAGTATGCTGCATCTCCTTGGTTCTTTCGGTAAAGTCACGTAGAAGGGAAATAATAAAATAATACAAATAAAACATAATAAAATAAAATTCTCACGACCTTTCGGCCACAACGCAAGCAGCCGTCTTCAGGTGAAGAACAGGGCTGTCGGAAAGACAGCGTCCGAAACTTTTCTTCTCTGTCTCCCTATTATGCACCTGAGGACGGCTACTTGCGTTGTTGGCCGAAACGTTGTGAGAATTTTATTTTATCAAGTTTTATTTTTATTATTTTATTATTTCCCTTCTACGTGACTTTACCGAAAGAACCAAGAAGATGAATCCCTGCAGTCACGAAAGCTTTAAATCGAAAAGTATGCTGCATGTACATGCACGTATGACAAATGAGAATCAGAACTTTTATTTAGACTGGAGGAATCCATCCGACGAGCTATGAAGCTCTTCACAGCTGTCCAGTAGGCGGATGTCCAGTAGGGGCGGGCTAGAAAGTTACAACAAAACAAAAACCACCACCCAGCATAATAGGGAGACAGAGAAGAAAACGTTTTATCCCATAGTCTCTACATGCATAAAACACAATCACCTCTCCACTCGTGAGTCCGTCTTGCGCGCACACCTAAATGTTTCGCCCGTGTATCTTCACTCGCGTTTCTTCTCTGCCTGCGTGCGTGCGTGCGTGTGTGTGGCAGGAGTACGCCGTGAATTGCCACGTGATCACGTTGGAGAGGATCGCGAGCCACTTTGATGTATTTGCGTTCGGCCACTTCTGGGGCTGGGCCATGAAGGCACTCGTCGTGCGGAGCTACGGCCTCTGCTGGACTATCAGCATCACGTGGGAGATGACCGAGGTGCCACAGAGCTTCCGGCTCGACCCTTGCAGGGGCTTGGGAGTCTTACTCTTGGGTTTTTTCGGTAAAGTCACGTAGGTAAAAAATGAAATTAAAATTAATAAAATTAATAATAGAAATAAAAAATCACGACGTTTCGGAGGCAACACAAGTCTCCGTCATCAGGTGGGACCGTCACAGCTAGATTTGCTGTATCAAGTGAGGCAGGGATTGCAAGATGCAAGTTCTTAAATACAAGTTAAGGGGGAGGAGGGAGGGGGGGGAGCTTATCAGAATGTGGTAGCCAATGAATGAATACGTGACTTGACCGAAAAAACTAAGAGTATGAATCCTTGCAGTCACGAAAGCTTCAAATCTATTTTTATTATTTTCCCTTCTACGTGACTTTACCGAAAGAACCAAGAAGATGAATCCCTGCAGTCACGAACGCTTCAAATCTAGAACTTGGGAGTCTTGTCGAAGTTGGGTATCTCTTTAAAGGCCGGGGGTTCCTTAGTCTCTTGAGGCTGGTTACAGGTGGTTATACACAAGCTATTTATCATGCTGAGCCAGATCCAGAACCTAACAAGACATCTGAAACGACTCGGTAGGGGGTGGGGGGGGGGGGGGGGCACGCAGGGCCAGGGCTGGCTATGGACGAGTTCATTGTGACGTCGGTCATTTCCCTGGAGAGAAGCGTTTATTGATTTCATGTCCATCGAACCAGATTAGATCGGCAAGGGCTACGTGACGAAGCACCAGCGCGTACTAATCACATATCTGCATTTCCCACAAATATGCTAAATTCCTCTTGATATGCAAATTATTTTGTCAAGGCGCTCTTCCCCCCTCCATCCCAGCTTAAATAGACGTTCCAAGCCTGGGGTGTGTCATTCAGACTCTGTCTTCTCGACAGACCTGTTCTCCACCTGAGGACGTCTGCTTGCGCTGTGGCCGAAACGTCGTGAGAATTATTTTATTATGTTCTATTTTTATTATTTTATTATTTCCATTCTACGTGACTTTACCGAAAGAACCAAGAAGATGAATCCCTGCAGTCACGAAAGCTTTAAATCGAAATTTCACCAGCGCGTAGTCTATCTTAAACTATATCTTTTATTTAACCAGGAAAGGCCCACTGAGCGAAAGAGCTCTTTTCCAGAAGCGACCTGGCCACAAATGATACCTCAACGAACTGGCTTATCACATGGAAATTTATAGTAGCCAAATCCACATGACCACGGGGGAGGGGGGAAATCAATAAATGAAACTTTATTTATTTAGCGGTATTCGTGCAACGAAATGTAATGCATAGTGCCTTACAGGCATGAACAATAAAAGTGAAATTGTAGACAAATTTGTAGCAAAGGCATGATAAAAAGAACACATTTAGAGAATAATGTCACAAGATCTTTGAACGTCCATTGGGAAGCCGACGGCGTGTACTTTTGGGTTAATGCACCTGCAGTACTAACGCGCGCGCGCGTGTGAACGTGTTCGTGCATGCGCATGCAGTTGTTCTTCATGCACCTCCTGCCCAACTTCGCCGAGTGCTGGTGGGACCAGGTGATCCTGGACATCATCCTGTGCAATGGTGGTGGCATCTGGCTGGGCATGGTGGTCTGCTACTTTCTGGAAATGAGGACCTATCGATGGGAGAGCGTCAAGTAACCACCGCATACACTCGGCCTGTCACGCGGTCGCTCGCACAGACAGCTGGGTAGATGGCGACTTGGCCAACCCCCGAGACAGCCACACAGCAAGCCAGCCAATCTCTCACCCACACAGTTACTCGCTCACTCAACATGCAGCCAGTCAGACACACAGCCAGCGATCCAACCCCTCGTCCACATGGTTACTCGCTCACTCAACCACACAGCCACTCAACCACACAGCCGCCCAGCCCCACAGCCACTCACTCAGCCAGCAAGTCAGCCACACAGCCAGCCAGTCGACCACACATCCACCCAACCAGTCACTCACACAGCCACTCAACCCCACAGCCACTCACTCAGCCAGCAAGTCACCCAGTCGACCACCCAGCCAGTCACTCACACAGCCACTCGCCCAGCCACTCAGCCACCGACCTACTAAGCCAGCATCGCAACGTCACACGCCATTTGACGTTCTCTCGTCGTGTGGCTTGAAACATAAGTAATGATCTTTGCTAATTGAAGACTTCCAAGGGAAGGCGTATGCTGAAATGCATTATGGAACCCATGATTTTTCTTCCACATTTCAATTGCGACTTTAAAGGCCACATCTTGACACATTCAGACGTGGGCAACGGTTTAACTCCACGCGCCGCTAATTGTTTAATCGCGGCTCTGTTGACCCCTTGACCCGCAACCTGCCACCCCTCCCCATCGCAGGGACATCCACAGCACGACGGGCAAGATCAAGCGCGTGGTAATGCAGTTCACGCCCGCGAGGTGGACGTACGTGCGTTGGTTCGACCCCAAGTCCTCTTTCCAGCGAGTCGCCGGCATCTACCTCTTCATGATCATCTGGCAGGTGAAGGGGTGGGGGGGCGGGGAGTTAGGGGGAGGTGTGTTGTCATGGTTGTCGATTGCTGTCAGCCAGGGCTAAATTTCGATTTAAAGCTTTCGTGACTGCAGGGATTCATCTTCTTGGTTCTTTCGGTAAAGTCATCTTCTTGGTTCTTTCAGTAAAGTCACGTGACTTTACCGAAAGAACCAAGAAGATGAAGCCAGGGCTAAGTTTCTCATCGAATATAATCCGGCCCACTGATAGACTGGGATGTGCGGCACATTGCTATCGTCATTGTTGGAGGTGTACTGGATGTCGTGTGCGCCAAAACGTTCTCCAGATCACCGACCCGGACAGACCCAGCTGAAATTAAAGGCCTGCTCACTAGTGCTTCAGATGAGGTTTTGGGTTTTCGTAAAAGTTTTACCCATGACATGCCACGAGAAGCGGGTAGGGAATGATAGTGTTTGTGTGGGTAGGGTGTAGTGGTGGTGAGAGGTAGTTCAAATTCTAGATTTGAAGCTTTTGTGACTGCAAGGATTCATATTCTTAGGTTTTTTCGGTAAAGTCATGTAGGTAAAAAATTAAAATTAATAAAAGTAAATTTTTATTAATTTACCTACGTGACTTTACCGAAAAAACCTAAGAATATAGGTAGTTCAAACTAAAACTATTTTTTCTTTTACCAGGTAAGGCCCACCGAGCTATCTAGCTCTTTTTCAGAAGCGACCTGCCCACAAATGATAGCTCAACAAAGTGGCTTGCCGTCATGTGGAAATTTATAGCAGCCAAATAATCTAAATACAAGTTTCTAAATGTCTAGGAAAAAACCGGAGGACCTGGAGAAAAATCCATATGGCCACGGGGAGAACATGCAAACTCAATATACAGCAGGCGTCACGGTCGCTATCAAACCCACGACTTCCTGCATACCAGGCGAGGTAGTTAACATCTCCTAGCCACCGTGGTGATGATGAGAGAGAGACACCGCAAGCTCCAAATATACAGCAGCAGGTGTCACGGTCGGGATCAAACCCACGACCTCCTGCGTACCAGGCGAGGTAGTTAACATCTCCTAGCCACCGTGGTGCCCTAAAGCGTTAAAGCAATGGACATAGCAGACATAGTGTGCAAAGTTGCTGGTGGGTTTGGTTATTACTCCTCGAAGAAAAATTGAGCAAAATAGCGGACGGGGCAAGATGACCGGGAACGGGAAGGGATGCCACCGGGAGGGAAGTCTCGAAGACAGAAAAAGAGGCTCAAGGCAGGAAGGGGAGGAAGGGCGCAAGGAATTGCCGGGCCAAGATGGTCGGGGATGAGAAGGTGGTGATGAGAGTAAAGGGAAGAAAGGGAGAGAGAAGTGAGCTGTACGGAGCAGTGTCTGTTTTCACCGGGGGGGGCGGCGGGGAAAGATGAGGGATTGAAAATGGGAGTGGGAGGCTTGAGCTGATTTAGACACGCAGATGTAAGGTCACGTTTACGTGAATTATCTCAACCACCCCTTCAAAGTTAGTTTTGAATCTTAAAAAAAAACACAGATGTTGGAAAATCATCACTTTTGTTAGCGGATCGAATGTTGTCGTTCACGTGTGTGTGTGTGTGCGCGTCGCATTGTGTTCCAGCTCACGGAGCTCAACACCTTCTTCCTCAAGCACATTTTCGTCTTCCAGGCGGGGCACCCAATCAGCGTCGGGCGCATCTTCCTCATCGGCATCATCACAGCGCCCACTGTCAGGTCCGCCACGCACCGGCACCACCGCCGTTTGCCAGACCCATTCCCTTCCCCCCCGTCTCAGTGTCGCTGTGTATGTACGTTTGTGTGCGTGTTCTAAACTGATCCTGGGCCTCACCTAGGTCGACTCGGCCTCAAATTAGTACCTGGTGCGGTGTGTAAAAACATCGCCGCTGTGGAGACAAACGCGTCCGGGCGTGGTGCTGGCCACCCCACCCCTTCGTGTGCCGTGCCGGCCTTTATAGGTGCTCGCGAACAGCACTTGCTGCGACAGTTTGTTCAGGCTATACAGGGCATCTTTGTTTTTGTTTTTGTTTGTGGGGGTGTGAGTATATGGGGAAGGCATGGTGCTGGTCACCCATCTCCTTCGTGTGCCGTGCCGGCCTTCATAGGTGCTACTTATTAATAGCGCTTGCTCCTATATGGGGGGATCTGTGTTGGGGAGCCATCGCTATGAACTTGGCGACCCGGGTTTGATTTCCGCTCACGGCCACCAACACCAATGGCGATTTTCTGAACTAGTCGTGGACGTCCCCTAGGTCGACTAAGGCCTCAAATGAGTACCTGGTGCGATGTGTAAAAATTGGCACTGGGGAGACAAAGGCGGCCGGGCGTGGTGCTGGCCACCCACCCCACCCCCACGTGTGCCGTGCTGGCCATCACCGGTGCTCGCTAACAGCACTTGCCCCAACAGGCTATACAGGTGATCTTTATCTTTGTGAGTGCATAGACCAGCATGGTCCACCTACCAGTCATCTTAATCGGTCAACCTATAAAACCTGGGTCCGTCCCGTGACCTCCTGTTCTCAGTGAGCATTCCACACCTCATGTGATCGTCTCACACGGCGCCTGGCCTGGCACGAGCGCCGTGGTGACTTCACCGACGTTTGGTGGAGAATGGCGGCAGTCGTTTTGTGTGGACCGGGTTAAGATATCACCCTCAACTGACGTGTGATGTTGTTTATCCATAATAGAGGTTGTTGTTTTTTGGGGTTAGATCGCGTAAATATGTTAATGTGATATTTATATATTAACGCGATCTAACCCAAAAAAAAACCTTGTGGATGATATTGGACGCGAAAGCCTACGTGTTAAAGTCATGTAGTTTGTTTAAAATATTAATGACTAGCTTTACTACCCGGCTTCGCCCGGGACTTGGATTCACCACGCCCGGCCGCCAGTGGCGATGTTCACACAGACCAGTTACTCGTTTGAGGCTGAGTCGACCTAGGGGAGACCCAGGATTGGTTAAAATAATCGTCACCGGTGGTGGCCGTGAGCGGGAATCGAACTCGGGTCGCCGGGTTCGTAGCGCAGCGCGCTAACCACTGCACTACAATGCGTGACGCTTTCACATGCGCGGGTCAGTGACAGATGTGACGTCACAGCTCACTTGCCGTGCTACAAAAATATGCATTATTGAGCTCCCCCCCCCCCCCCCCCCCATAATTGTTGCATAGTGTACAGTCTGGAAAGTACCCACATGGCAAATTTAAAGTTGGTTGCATGTCGGGAAGTACGCTAAACATTTTGAACAGACACACATAATCACAGCTTTGCCTTTTATATATATATGGAGATGATGATGACGATTGCCGCTGATTTCGCGAGCTGCTGGGGATGACGACGGCTCGAAGACGCCTTCATCCAGCAGTGGGTAGATCTTGTCTGATAATGACGCCAGGCGACGCCGGTGTGTGTCTTGGCGTGTGCGCTGCAGGCAGTACTACGCGTACCTGACGGACACGCAGTGCAAGCGCGTGGGCACTCAGTGCTGGGTTTACGGGTGAGTCTCTGCCGTTTTTTAAATCCTTTATATTAAGTTCACTTGCTTGCTTGCGTGCTTAGGACCGTGCAAATCTTTCGGTCGTTTTTTAACCCACTTCCCGTGATCCAATCGAGCTGACATTTTGCACACAGACTCGTTGTGCGAGACAATTAATGTTCGTGAAATTTTTTTTCCAAAATTTTACACTGTTTAGGGAAAACAAATTAAATATTTAATTACCAATTGCTTAATACTGGCAGACAATCATCTGACCCATAGGTGGCAGCCATCTCAAGCCAGAGGACGAGAGAACTCTAGCCGCCACGCATATAAAGGATTTATAGTGAAAAACTTTGTTTTTACGGGTTATACTTATTACACGCTTTTATTTAACTCACTTTCGTCTGTTGTATCCTCAAAAAAGAAATCTTGTAACTCAAATCTTACACACTTCCCAATGTGCTATCGACTGCAAACTTCGTATAGGTATGTCAGACTGATGACAATACTATATTCTATCATTGAAAAAAAAACATTTTAAACAATCTTTTTTACGGATATAATTGTCCACGTTACGGCTCTAATTGTCCACGCTCAACTGACGTTGCCTGTAAATCACCACGGTCCCTTATGTCACGGCAAGCCTCGGGGAGCCACGCTCAGGGGCGATGGGGGAAGGGGCCAGGGGGAGGGGCAGCTCGGACAGTACATTTCATTAAAGCGTGTTTAAAAAAAAAGTATTTTAAATATTTTTCGCACTTTTTTATTGTACCAGGTAAGGGCCCACTGAGCTATACAGCCCTTCGTGAGAAGCAGACCTGACCACAAATGATAGCTCAACGAAGTGGCTTATCACGTGGAAATCTATAGCAGCCAAATGCTCTTTAAGCAAATGTTAATTCTGAATGTGGAGGTAAAAAACCGGAGCACCTGGAGAAAAATCCACACGACCTTGACGAGAGAGAACATGCAAACTCCAAATATACAGGCGTCAGGGTCGGAATCGAAACCACGACCTCCTGCGTACCAGGCGAGAGATTTAACATTTTGCCACTGCGGCACCCCAGATTGACTGCTCTGCCGTTCGCTTTGGACCCCTTAATTGTTAAGCACGTGATGCTTTCATAAATGAAAATCTTATCCTCGCGATACGCGTGTCGAATAGCGCTTCGATTATTTCCGATTTGCGTTGGGTGGGGTAGGGGGGTGTGTGGGGGGAGGTGCGAGGGCTTGTGCCATTGCTTGTAGTTTATTCCACGTGGTCCCCACGACCATCGGAGGTGTTGCATTGACCACAGTCACGAGTCCGGGACATGACGATACAGGGGAGGGGTGAATAGTCCACCCTTCCATCCAATTCTCTCTCGCTGCCTATCCTGCCAACCATCATCCATCCGTCCATTCATTGTCTCCTCATCTGTCCATCTGTACATCTATCTGACTACACTTTAAATCAGGAGTGGGGAACCTTTTTTCTGCCAAGGGCCATTTGTATATTTATAACATAATTCGGGGGCCATACAAAATTATCAACTAAAAAATTAGCCTGTTATATTTGGTCAAACATTAATTAACTCACCCCTAATGTGATGGCTGGAACTGCTTCTCTTTGGGTGAGGCGTGTGTGATGTTAGCTGGTATTGATGATGATGTTGCTACTTGCAACTGCTTATCCAGGCTTGCTCCTAGATTTATTGAATTTCGAGTCACGCCTGCGGTTGCCTTGGCAGGGCCAGACCCAAATGATTTCGTGGGCCTCATACGGCCCGCGGGCCGGACGTTCCCCACCCCTCCTTTAAATATTTGTGAAAACGACTAAACCCAAATTGGTGAAGTATGGTCTAACAATCGCCATGACTGACACAGTATGGGGAGTCCTTCATACAGCAGTGGATTGGCAAAAGGATTATTAATTTGTATTGTTATTATTTATTATATATGATTTGTGAATAAACACCAGTTTTCATCTGTCCACACATACAGTGACACGTGTTTTAGCTCACAGGGCTAATTGGCTAGCGGCATTTGGTGAAGCACGCAAACTCTGACGTTGTCCATGGCTGGGAATCGAACTCGGGTTAGAGGGCAGCGTGTTAAACACACTGCACCGGCGATCCCCTCCGATATAAACACACTGCGTGTACTGTGGCCGAAAAGTAGACCTGAATCAGATTTGGCGCGGTGCAGTTACTGGACTTGGCCAGAAGAAGGGGCTTTGCACACACGTTCGAATTACACCACGCTTCACTGAATAAGCTGGCTTTATCTGAGCTGTTCTGCCGTGCTACGTCAAGCGCTAATCTTTATCCCACGCCCTAATGCAAACCCTTATTAGTGGGAATGACCACACGTCCCAAGGCAACATGTCATTTCTCAATAAGAGTCCTGAGACTCGGCGAGACCTTTTTCGTTGTAAATAAATAACTGGCAACGTTATCATCATTAATGTATGCGGGTTTGTTTAACTTCTTTCATGCCGTATGTAGTCAACCGTGCGGGGGAAGGACAACACACTCGACACAAAAAGCAGTTCTAAAGAAATTAGTTTCCAATTGATATGATTTGAAAGGGCATAGCTCCAGTGGCTTCCTAATATCGGAAGGAAGAGCGTTCCAGACGGCCGCAGAAACGCATCTGAAAGCGTGCGATGCAGTGACCGTCTTTGTTCGATGGCTAGCCAGAAGCCTCTGCGAGGATGAATGGAGTTCATGTGACAGTTCATAGCTCATCGGATTCCTTCAATATACACAAATATTCTGATTCAATCGAGAGGTCGCCGGTTCTGTCTCCCGTCGCGAGAGTTGAAACAATGCAACAGATATCTCAATTCATCGCCCCCCACCACCATCTCTGTTCACCCGGCATTATGAATGGGTTACTCTACAGTTGATTGGCAGTTCGTGGGGTAAAGTGTGGGTAATCCCACCTCTTCCAAGACGTTTGGCCAGTCTGAAAGAGTCGGGCAAATACCCTCCACTAGAGAGGGGCTCTTCTATATAGCTCCATCTCGTGGAGGCCCTTCCACTAGCAGTGGCGTGAGCTAAGCAATTGCAGGGCTTCGTCTTTACACGCGTTGCCGTGTCCTGTCGCGCTATGCCGTGCGCCTCGCCCGCAGAGCCATCGCGTTCCTGGAGGCGATCGTTTGCATAAAGTTCGGCAAGGAGCTGTTCTCCAAGACGCAGGTCATGTACGTGTTCCTGTGGCTCGTGTGCATCGTAAGTAGCGGGTGATCCTGACACTTGCACGCACGTCATGCACACACACAACACCTTGTTGCCAGTGCATCACACTCTCACCTCTTTCCAAGTTGTCTTGCCAACGTGGAGGGGAGTAGAGAGAGATGAGAGGGGAGAGGTAGGAGGTTACATGGAGTGAATGGTGATGATGCTGATGTATTATTAAGACCAGAATGTCGCATGTGCTGCGTGTTGCACCGCTCGCCCCGCAGGCCTTCATCACGTTCGCGTGCCTCTACGTGATGGTGGCGTATGCCGACTGGGCTCCTACTCGCGAAAAGGTACACCGCGATGGAGGTCGCGTTCGCGAGGTCATCGGCGCCAACGTCGTTGATGCCCACCACGCGTCGCCATCGCTTCCTTCCGCACGATCCGTCCGCCGCCGTTGCACAGTCCACACACGTGACAGCCTCACGGTCGCCACCGTTCGCGCACTAGGAGGAACGATGAACGTCACGGAGATGGAGCGATGAAATCCGCTCACGTGAAGGGGCCACAGACCCTTTGCATTGCGAGACGGGGAAACGTGACGACAGCTTCTAGAAGCCTTCATGCAGCAGTTGATAGATCGTGGCTGGCGATGATTATTCATCACTTTGATCATTCGAATTTTCCACGTGAGATCATAGCCACGATCACCAGTGGCATGTGTGTAAGTCATAATAATAATAACGCTACGCCACAGGCTGTCACGGTTTTGTTAATGCTGTGTAGCTCCCTCCGATGCATTTTCGGGTCATACCACGTGTTGTCCTGCACGACGTCCGACGTTTCGCTGCATGTGCCGGCAGCTTCTGCAGGCACTGAATTCTCAAGATGCTGCCAATTGAAGTCGCCCTTCCAGGCACTGTCAAGGTTCAACCTTGATAAACGTCTGCTATCTCTGAAATGTGACGAAATTGGGCAGATGCCGGTACAGTTGTTATTGACCATAATAAGTTGTAAATTTTAGTCTGTTGTCCTTCCCCGTCGCACCTGGTTAGCACAGTTGGCAACATACGGTGTGAAAGAAGTTTAACACACATACGTTATTACTATTATCATGAAAAAATTCCCTGTATGACTATGAAAAGCAGAGAATTAGAAGCTCCGACAGGTGGCTTAGCAAACAATGGTGACTGGACCAGGCGATCGCGTGAGAGCTTTTTCACAGCTTTTGTGAGAAATTTAAATTTGAGGTGGGTGGTTCACGATGGGCCCCTGTCAGAGCCACTGAGCTGGCACCCCCTGTGATGTGGTCCACAAGTTTGTTGAGAAAAAAATTCCCTTTCGAAGAAAACGATCAGCGCGTCATCGTTTGTTTTGGAAAGCGAGGCTTTAGAAAAATGAGAAATTGATTTCTAAGATAAAAAAAAAAATGTACTCGTATGAATGATGATACGGTTTTCAGCACATTGTTATCTGCTTAGATTTTTCACATATATGCACACTTTATTATTTCTGCCGTGATGTAATGGTTACAGAGATTAAGAAAATCTTTAACGTTCAAGTCAATGATTATCTTGGAAAAAACGAGGAGTGAAGGCGGCAGGCATCTTCTTTGAGAGCCCGAAACTTACACCATCATCATCATCTTCTTCTTCTTCCATGATCAATCCACTGCCTGATGAAGGCCTCTCTAAGCCATCATCATCTCTCCTGGTACCTATTTTATCAGCTCCAATGTGATTGTGGGCTTAGTCGAGCCCTGGGCATCTCTGGTCAGAGCGCTCCGCATGTTGATAAAACTAATTCCACTTTGTTGGGGAGACGGCAATATTTGTAAGATGGGAATACTTGCCATTGCCATAGTAACGAGGAATTTCCATCGCTTGCTCAGAAACGGTCCAAATCATGGACTCAATTTTTGTTTCTTGGCGGGGGCGTCTGATTTGAGTGGAAAAATGTGGTCATGTAGTCGGCACGTGATTGGCCACCGTGTTGTTTTCCAGTCTCTGTCGGAGTGCGAGGACTCGGTGAGCTACGTGGACTCATCCCCAGATAACTCCATCATGGAACTGAGCGGTGAGCCCAGCGCTGCCTGTTCGTCTGCCCAGCCTCTCTTTCTTGCCTCCTGGCTGTCTGTCTTTCCACTCTCGTGCCTGCCGTCACGTCTCTCTCTCTGTGTGTTTTTATGCCTGTTGGTGTGTCCCTTTGTCTCTTTGCCAGTCTGTGTGTCTCTCTCTTTGTATGGCAGCCTGCTGGTCTGTGTCTGTCCTGCTCTTTAGAGGTCTGTCCACCTACCTACCTTCCTGCCTGTGATTTTGTCTGCGTGTCTCTCTCTTTCTGTCTTTCTATCCATCTGTTTAACAATGCTCCTTCCTGGCTGTCTGCCTGTGTCTCTATTTGTCTGTATATGTGTCTGTCTGTCTGCATCTTTGTAGGCCTGTCCACCTGCCTGCATCCCTGTCGTCTGTCCCTCTCTCTCCACCTGCGTGTCTATCTATCTGCATGTCCATTTATCGGTCCTGCCTGTTTGCCCGTCGATTTGTACATCCTCCACACTGGTATTTCTCACCCCCCGTCACCCTCCACAAACCCCAAACTTCTAAAAAACAAAACAAACATCCACTCAACTCACTTGACCGTCTCGCCCCACAGATAGCAGACAGGACATACAGGAAAAGCCTGACCCCGTCGCGCTGAAAAAGACTCTGTGAAATGCGCAGTCATCCGATCGCCGTGATGGCGGCGGCGGCGGCGGCGGCGGCGGCGATGAGGGTGGTGGTGGCCGTGGCGACGATGACGACGAATGGTGGAAGGCGAGTAGCCTGGGCTGCACCGCTTTGCTCCAACGTTTCGCGATCATATAATGCACACTGTGAAAGAAGAGGCGTACGCGAGCTTTAGTAGTTAAGACGTCGGGTGACAAATACGCTGCTGTGTTTGCATTTTTTATCCCATACCCAGGGATTTAATTTCATCTGGAAACTGTCCGAGGGCGGCGACCCATGAAATACCCCCTCGCCCGGCACACCACATCCAGGATACCTTTCACTTGTTCCAGCAGCTTTGACCACGACTGGTCACGTGCCACCTACCACGTTCTACCAGCGACCCAGAAAATATTCCGTGAGGAATTAAGCCCCGCTCCGAATCAGTTATAAAAAAAAAAAAATCAAATATAACACTTGACCGTCAGACATTTTTTTTATAGGTTTTTTTCAATTGTATGTTATTATTATTATTGTATTTTTGTTAGTATTACAACTGCACTCTTCTCTAGTATTACATTTTTTAAAATTGTTTATCCATCTCATCATTGCCACCGACAATCGCAACTGTTGCGGGCTTTCCACGTTCCTTCTTGTTGGGGATCGTCATCACCATCATCATCGTCTTCAATAGGTTTGGTTAAGGTGAACATCACTATGCCGAATTGGTTGTAGCCAGGGTGGGGTTATGGTTAGCGTTTGGGGCTTGTAATCCGGAGGTCACCGGTTCGATTCCCCCTTCCGGCGTGACAGCTGAAATATTGGAGGCGAGTTTCTTAAACTGCTTCTCAACCCCCCTCCACCTCTGACCACCCAGCAATGTAAATGGTTTACACCTAAACTAAACTATTTTAAGTTTAAATTTCGATTTAAAGCTTTCGTGACTGCAGGGATTCATCTTCTTGGTTCTTTCGGTAAAGTCACGTAGAAGGGAAGTAATAAAATAATAAAAATAGAACATAATAAAATAATTCTCACGACGTTTCGGCCACAACGCAAGCAGCCGTCCTCAGGTGAAAACCAGGTCTGTTTACCAGGTAAGGCCCACTGAGTTATTTAGCTCTTTTTTCAGAGAAAATCCACAACATTTACAATCTCAATCACACCGGTGTGCTGTACTCGTAACGAATTGGCATGTTTTGTTTACGAGACAAACCTTACTAATTGGCTGTGTCGGGTGGTGGCGGGTTTAATGACACATTATATAGCTACGTCGATTTAACCCCCCCCAAAAAACCTGTATTATGGATGATATTGGTTGCGAAAGCCTACGTGCTTTTAAACTAACATTTTAATCAATTATTTGAATCGAATCGTGGCCCAGAGTTGTGACGAATCTTCGCATCTCTGGTGGCGGCGGTGGTGGTGGGGGTGGGTGGGAAGGCAGGGGAATGGGTGCAGAAGAATCGCCACGTGACTAAATGAAATTGTGATTGACTTTTAACCGGCGAATTTCTCTCAGGTTATCAGGAGTTAGTTGTGTGTTTGCAGGGGGACCTTGCCGAAGGCTGACACCTACCGCTGCCGTGGGTTATGGGTTTGAGAAATTGTCACGAAACAACTGCCAACCTGTGGAGCCCAGTGACATTGAATTACCAAGTCTAGACACGGCGGTCTGACATTGGGCTTCCTACTCATTTGAATGGGAAAGAAAGTCTTAAAGTAGGGAATGCTGCTTAGCAATTTGCTCCTCAATGTGGGCATTGCCAGGCATTGCTTATACTGATCTACAATGTGCTATGTAGGCATTGCCTACAGTGAGTAATGTTAAGCGATACCTTGTGGTATAGCTAATATTAAAAAAACGTCTACATTGAGCGATGCACATAGGTAATACCTCTACTGAGGGATACATTGTGATATAGGTAATACCACGGTGTTACCTATACCTAATAGTATTATTGTACTGAAGGGTACATTTTAATTTAGGTAATACCACAGTCTAGCGTGCACTAAGCAATATTCTTCGGTGATATTAACTCATTGCCTGTACTAAGCAATAGCACTATAGCCAGTCGGTGGTAATTTCTGCTGTGTGTTTGCTGTTATCGTTATTGCGTTTATCAACAAGGTGCGCAGCGTGGCTGATGTTAGGAGACCCTGTCGCATCATCGTTATCTCTGCGAGAAGTAGGGTCATTGTGGGGTGGCTCACGGGGTTCATAATGGCCATGTTGGAGACACCGACCCGGCACTACTGGGATCCTGGGTTTGAATGCGGGTCTCAACCGCCCATGGTTAAACCGAGTTCTCGAATTGTGGTGAGTCATCTTCTTGGTTCTTTCGGTAAAGTCACGTAGAAGGGAAGTAATAAAATAATAAAAATAAAACAATAAAATAATTCTCACGACGTTTCGGCTACAACGCAACGCAAGCAGCCGTCTTCACCTGAAGACGGCTGCTTGCGTTGTAGCCGAAACGTGAGAATTATTTTATTATGTTTTATTTTTATTATTTTATTACTTCCCTTCTACGTGACTTTACCGAAAGAACCAAGAAGATGAATCCCTGCAGTCACGAAAGCTTTAAATCGAAATTGTGGTGAGTCGTTGGTCCAAAAGAGACCCATCGGTTTACACAGAGACCCATAGGCTCGCACATACTAAGTTGTGATTAAATCTGTCACTGTTGATTTACGCACAGACCTCTAGGCTTGCACAGAGACCCATAGACGTGCATCTACTGCATTGTGTGTAGCAATGTTATGGTCTCGGCCAGGTAATGAATGATCAAACGAAAAATAACCCCGTCGTGTTTAACGTGGGATGAGGCCAATTGAAATGTCTTAACGAAACGTCCGTATCCATTTAAACGTTGCCAGATTCCTCTCCAACAACTCCGGTGGTGCTGCTGAAGTCATACATTTGACACCCTTAGTTCACGGGACACTTCATTATTCGGCGGGGTGGAGGAGGGTGTACGACAAAAGATCTATACACGACCTAATCCCAAAAGTAACCAAATGACAATCGTAATATTGGTCGTGAAAGCCTATGTATAAAAGAGATCGCCGATGATGATATGATAACATTAACAACGATGATGATGACATGATGACATTAAAATCGATGACACTGATGATGACATTAATATTGATGTTGACAATGATGATGTGGTTGGGATGTTGTTGGCAGTGTATTTATTATTTTAAGTGGAAATCTTGAAATGTGCGTCGAGTGTTTCTCGTCCCGATGCAGTCTTGCTTTATTGCAGTTTTTGTAGTTTGTCGACATCATTTCCCCGATCTGCTCATCGATTATGTTACAAGAGTCGTCGCCAAAATTCGACCTAAATGTTTCCACTTAAATCGTTTATATTGTATGTATGTATACTGTTAGTTTTTTCGGTAAAGTCACGTAGGTAAAAAATGAAATTTAAATTAATAAAAATGTTATTATTTTATTTTAATTAAATTTTTATTAATTTTAATTTCATTTTTTACCTACGTGACTTTACCGAAAAAACTAAGAGTATGAATCCTTGCAGTCACGAAAGCTTCAAATCTAGAATGTACGTATGTATGTATGTTGAACGTCTTTTGCACCATACGGAGCCAACGGTGCGAAATATTCATTTCTGTGAGGCAATCGCACTCCAAGTTATTTCGACCGCCCTGGTTCCAGATTTCCACGTGGTGAGGCCTTGTGTCTCAACACAGCTCTGGGTCCGGGATTGGTCTCCCAGTTTCTTTTCGGTCCACGACTGTTTTTCTAAACGGGTTCTGCCTCTGTTGAGTCTCCTTATGTTACAGCTTCGTTAGCTCTTAAGTTTCATCCCTCAACTTCTCGCTGCCTTGATTCCTGTTTATAGCTTCCAGGTTCCGGCTCCAGTTCTGCAAGTTTATCCCTGAGATAGTTGGGTCAGAAACTGTTGAGGGGAGTCCTGGATGGAACGCAGAAAAAGCCTGGTAGCTCACGCAAATACGGCTCGGATCATCACCCGACCTGCACTGACCAACGTTGGTGAGGTGGTATGGTTAACCTGCCCCATGATCACCTGGTGTTTGGGGGGAGGGGTAGGGGATTCATCGTCCACGAGAACGAATTGACAAAGTTGATTTATACTCTTTGGTTTTGTCGGTAAAGTCCCGTAGGTAAAAAATAAAATAAATGAGAACAACGAAATTAATCATTTAATTTAGAAATGAAAACAACTAAATTAATGATTTAATTTAGTTTTCATTTACTTTATTTTTTACCTACGTGACTTTACCGAAAAAACCCAAAGAGTATGAATCCTCGCAAGTCACGAAAGCTTTAAATCTAAAACTAAAGTTGATTTAATATCCATATAGGAATCATAAATAATAATCCCTTGCTAGCTTCATTGAAACAATTTAAAATCCACGGGGGTGGTGGCACCATTCAACCTAATATTCCACTCCATCCGCTTGACCCGTTTACTCGGCAAAAACCCGACGTCCTGAGCTGTTGGATGTTGTGGGTTGTCAGGATTTGTTTTTCTTGAGCACCTCTCAACTTATTTTCTCGCCGGTTCTGTGCGTCCAAGTTGTCGCGCTTGCTACTACAGCTTTAGTTTCTGGGATTTATCCCTTTCGAGTTCTGTTTTGTGCCTACAATCGTCTGCTTTTCGTGTCCTGTCTCCGCAAGTCCTTGCGTTCGTTAGGGTAACGCCAGGTTCAAAGGTCAAGCACCTGCAGTCACTTCACGCCTCGTATCTTCTTTATGGCTCTCATTCCATTCAAAACTAAAACTTAACTCGTCACCTTCATTCGCAGACAGGAGAACATTGATGTATATGGCAGTATGGCAGGTTGACAATTCAGGCAATGGGGCCTCCCACCAACCAGGTCGCTCTCGCAAACGAGAGGTCATCGTTGTCTCTTGGGTTGTCACCTGGATGGACAAAATCAACTCTCAAACTTCAGAGCAGAGAGTCGGAGGGCGGCGGGGAGGTTGGTTGGCTTATGGCTGGAGGCCGAACATCTCAGTTTTTATTTTATTTAAAACCTAAATTGAAAAGTAATTTGTTTAGAACTGCTATTCGTATTTAGTTTGTTGTCTTTCCACTCGCACCTCCGATTAACACCGTTTGCTACGTACGGTGCGAAAGAAGTTCATCATGTTTGTCCATAGGGGGGCGTCCATAAATGACGTCACGCACCTGGGGGGGGGGGGAGAAATGTGACGTCACATCAAAATGCGCAACTTTAAATATATAATTGTTATAACAACACTAATTGTTCTAACAACACTCCTACAACATCAGAGTGCAGCGCCACATTAAATACGCACTACAATGACAATAGTTTAAAGCGATTTGAAGCATGTTTTATTTTCAAAATGGAAATATGGTTTTGGGAGGGGCAGAGCTTTGTGACGTCGTGTGACGAAGGGGGGGGGGTCAAAAATTGTCTAAAATCGCGTGACGTCATTTATGGACGGCCCCGAACGACGAAGAGGGGGGGGGGGGGTGCAAGCTGCCGGCGAGAATGTCGGCCGAAGCAACGGAGCGATACATTCGGCTGGTGTCCCAAGTGCTAGAGAGTGCATGCCCCGAAACATGGAGGAGTGGACGCTTTTTAAATCCTTTATATTAAGTTCACTTACTTGCGTGCTTGCTTGCTTACGACCGTGCAAATCTTTCAGTCGTTTTTTAACCCACTTCCCGTGATCCAATCGAGCTGACATTTTGCACACAGACTCGTTGTGCGAGACAATTAATGTTCGTGAAAATAAATTTCCAAAATTTTACACTGTTTAGGGAAAATAATAATATTTAATTACCAATTGCTTAATGGTGGCAGACAATCATCTGACCCATAGGTGGCAGCCATCTCAAGCCAGAGGACGAGAGGACTCTAGCCGCCACGCATATAAAGGATTTATAGTGAAAAACTTTGTTTTTACGGGTTAATTTTTATTATTAAATCCTTTATATTAAGTTCGATTGCTTGCTTGCTTACGACCGTGCAAATCTTTCGGTCGTTTTTAAACCCACTTCCCGTGATCCAATCGAGCTGACATTTTCCACACAGACTCGTTGTGCGTGACAATGTTCGTGAAAATTTTTTTCCAAAATTTTGCACTTTTTAGGACAAAAATATTATATTTAATTACCAATTGCTTAATGGTGGCAGGCAATCATCTGACCCATAGGTGGCAGCCATCTCAAGCCAGAGGACTCTAGCCACCACGCATATAAAGGATTTATAGTGAAAAACTTTGTTTATACGGGTTATTTTTTTAAATCCTTTATATTAAGTTCGCTTGCTTGCTTGCTTAGGACCGTGCAAATCTTTCGGTCGTTTTTTAACCCACTTCCCGTGATCCAATCGAGCTGACATTTTGCACACAGACTCGTAGTGCGTGACAATGAATTTTTGTGAAAATTTTTTTTCGAAAATTTTACACTGTTTAGGGAACATTTTTAAAATATTTATTTACCAATTGGTTAATGCTGGCACACAATCATCTGACCCATAGGCGGCAGCCATCTCAAGCCAGAGGACGAGAGGACTCTCGCCGCCCCGATGCCACGCTTATAAAGGATTTATAGTGAAAAACTTTCTTTTTACGGGTTAATTTTTTTACAAAGTAAATATTCCGCACCGTTTCTGTAGAGCAGCGGTGGTCGATACAAGTTGAAGTTCATTTTCAAGTTCATTTATTAGGTATAGCCCTGTGAGCCATTCGGCTCTTGAATCGGGTGCAACCGCAACAAACAAAAACATGAACAAGAAAACATCTTATACGTGGATTTGCGATCCACTCTGTTGTGCGTCTCGGGACGAAATGAGAACAATCACCGACACAGCGATTCTCTTAACGACTGATGGCAAATGAAAGCCCCCCCCAGAATTAAGAATTCGTACATTGAAAAAAACAATACGTAACTCTCTTCTTGGTTCTTTCGGTAAAGTCACGTAGAATGGAAATAATAAAATAATAAAAATTTAACAATTCTCACAACGTTTCGGCCACAACGCAAGCAGCCGTCCTCAGGTGAAGAACAGGTCTGTCGAGACGACTGAGTCTGTCCTAACCTGAGGACGGCTGCTTGCGTTGTGGCCGAAGGGTCGTGAGAATGATTTTATGATGTTACATTTTTATTATTTTATTATTTCCATTCTACGTGACTTTACCGAAAGAACCAAGAAGATGAATCCCTGCAGTCACGAAAGCTTCAAATCGAAATACATAACTAACTCGTACAAAAAGATGTCTCTCGTTCTCGCTATGACTATCGTACATTACAGGGTTAATGAATAACACACCCATCGCCGGTGATTGTTGAGCACATTTCTGGCGGTGGATCGCCGAGGAACCCGTTCAGAGCCACCCGCGTGG